TTAATGAGTAATGGACCGTTTCCTGATATGCAGATGCTGCAGCCCATCTTTTGTTCTCAGATCTTCAGGGACTATCTCTTATCACAGGGCTTTTCCCCTATGGAGAAACACTTGGAGGTTGCTTTAGGTAACACAGCAATGGGTAATTTTCAAAGCCAACTTAAATTAAAGAGTCTTTTCAGCAGTTTTGAGTATGCCATTAGTGAATGACTGCATAGGCGAATGATTTGACTCTTTATCAAAGCATTTTAGGGTTAGAAATTTTTGGGTTTCTGACCTCTTGTCAGGAAGTGATAGACACCACCACCTCCTTGCCATAAGCACCTTCAAGTCTCATTTGAAACCACTGGGTTCTGTTCCATAACCTGCAGTCTTTGCAGGAAATGTCACTTTGAGGGCTGAATTGCAATTCATTGCCCACCAGAAAAGGTGAAATCCTAGGCTTTTTTGTTTGTCTCTTTCTGGGGATGTTCACCTTTTATACACAAACAGATGGCATTGGAACAACAGGTCTCTGTGCAGAAGGCAGGATTTTTTGGATGTGCAGTTCTCCAGCGAGCATAAAACAAAGTAAAACCAGATTGAAAACTTTCATTACCCAGCAATGCAAGTCACAACAGCAGGGTTAAATCTGTTTCTATTTAGACAATATCTGGAACAGCGTTTTATTATACAGCCTGTAAAGCACTGCCTGTGCATGGGTGGAAAGTACATTGTCTCCTGAAATAAAGAACTGGGGCAGGATTGTTTGGAACCTTCTTTTTTTTCTTCTTATTTTTCTTCAACCATAAATACAAAGTAACCATTTCTCCATAACATTGAACTCTTTGTGGCCTTCCTATAAACAATAAAAGTATCCAAAAATAAACATCTACTTAGAATAAATATTAACTCAGAGGCCTTTAAAATATGAAGAAAATACTCTCTGCAATATCATCTCTTCCCTGATAATGCAAAAGCCACCCCATGGGGTTTAAAACTGAGGGATTTCAAGGCTTCAGGGTGTCTTATGATGCTCACTCTGAGCGGGCTGAATGCCAGGCTTTGTGAAAGGCTCTGTCTTAAAAGACAGAGTCCTAATCGCTTTCAACTTTTCTAATTCTTCACATTCCTTCCTAGCAAAATAACTGCCTGCCTTATAATGGCAGAAACATTTGGAGACTAAAAGAAACAAACAAAAAATAATCAATTTTCAAGGTCCACTTGCAGACGGAGGAACTGTTTATGAAGCACTTACTGTTCAGTTGCAGGAGAAAATCTCATCTTAATGGCAAAAGGGGAAGCATGGAAATACTGGGGAGAGGTTTTTTGGGGGGGTGGATGTGAGGATAGAAACTCTCCTGCTCTATAATTCAGACGATTGACTTTTTCAGCAAGTAGATCCCTCATCCAAGGAAACAGGAGTTTTCCTCTGTGTGGAGCAGGGAGTGGGTGCTACCACCTCTCATATGACACAGACCATGTTTGCTGTCCTCAAGGGGGTCATTAGCTTGTAAAAACATCCCTGGTTTCAAACCCAAATCTCAATCCTATGAGCGGAGCTCACCTGACTGCCCGAGTACTTCTCCCAGGCCAGTTTTGGTTTCTGAACCAGAAATCTCCTGCTGGGTTCTGGCTCACCCTATCTCACACATTCCCCACTGACAGAGGAGAAGAAACTGAAAAATTTCAAGCTAATCTTTCCACACAAGGCCTATTCTCAACTTTTCTCCATGTTTTGCACAAAACTTGGCACAGTTCTTGCAGCAGAAGCTCCTTGACACGGCCTTGCACCACTCCCAGCTCCACACACCCTGTACTCCCAGTCACAAAAGACTGACACAACATGGAAATGCTTCTGATTAAAACTTCTGGGTTCTCCAAACTCTACTGACCATGCTTCGGATCATAGCCAGTCATTTCTCCAAATTATTCCAGCTCCTGCCAGGAGGTTAGAGGCTGGGTATTTCCTTGGCCTTATCGCCTCTTGGGTCTGGTTTTGATCTTTATCTTCTATAGTAATATTTTAAAAATTAAAGAAATACAATAGCTTTTATCACGTTAATTTAAAAGTAAGACCTGCTTTTCAATTCCAGTTAAATAATTCATTTAAATCTTGCCAGAGATGTTGAAAAGCTAATATGTACAGATGAGAAGAAACCTTTCTAAAATTATGAATGGAAAACATCCAGTCTTTCCTGTTATGTTTATAGTTTTCCCCTTACAGCATAACATTAAAATTACCAGCTCTCATGTGGTATAATTTGGTTACATTCCCTAAAGACACATGAAAGTAGTCCCAAAGGAACTATTTACTTCAGTGAGAATAGAAGGTGCTGAGTACATCATTCAGGAACATTTACTTTTTGGTTATTAGTGGGTGGGAATATTGGTTTATTGCCTAAATCTCCCCAGACCATCCTTCCATACAAATGAAGTATGGAAGGAGCCAGGTGGGGTGGTCCAGCTCACATGCCACTCTTACATGGAGGTTTCATGTTTCTAGGTCTTGGGGTCCATCACCTTTGCATGCACAGAGGAGAGGAGCTGTGACAGCAAAATATGTCCTCCCCAAACTAGGGATGAGGTGAGAGGACTTGCACAAATGGAGAACATCCATGAGTGAAGAAAGACCAGAGCTCAGCTCTTCTGTCTCCGACAGCAGCAGGGAAACCACAGTGTTCCTCTCACTATTCCCAACCCGATGAGCAAAACTTCCAAAAGCCTTCAGGAGTGGCCTAACCCTGCTGCCCTTGAGGCTAAGGGTGAGCCAGAACTAGGTACTTTTGCTTGAGGGCACTGGAGAACCTGATCTGCTGCTGGAGAGCTGCTGGAGAGCTGCTTTGTGCATTCCCTGTCCACATCCCTGGCTGAGGAAGAGCAGGCCTGCACTGCTGCTGTACAGTGCTACCCTGCTTGGTTGAGGGCAACAATTTCAGATGCACAACAACAGGAAGAGTCCAGAATAAACACATTAAGTATCTTAAATTTGCAAGTAAGTGCACAAGCTATTAGGCACTGATGTAGCACAACAGATAAGTTCAGTGGTTAACTTTAAACATACAAATAATACCACTAAGTTCACTTTAACAACATTATGTTGCATGCTTAACATGAAGCTTATGCTTAAGTGCCTGACTGATTAATCCTCTCCCTGTGTACTTCAGTTCAAGTTTGTTTGGGGTCACTTGGTGCCATCTTACACACTTGGCAAGAGCACAGACAATAAAACAATACAAAGGAACCAGTTTTCGCACACTGGAAAGGTAACAGGTAAGTGTCCTAGGAATTGTTTTCTCATTAAATATGACACTCCATTTCTATCACTACATTAATGGACAGTTTATCACCTGAGAAGCTGAACACTCAGCTCTCAAGATACTACAGGGGTTCTGGATGCCACCTCAGTTCTGCCAGGGTATGGCCACAGTACCAGCCCTTAGTGGAGAGGCATAAGCAGTAAGTGTATTTCTGAAAATTTGTGTACAGCCTTGCTACAGTTGTTAAACCAAATAGTCAGAGATAAAAGAGTCATTTTGTTTAGCTGGGTATTACACATTACACTTTCATGGTCTTCACGTTTTAATGGTGAGTTTTGTCAGCTTCATAAATTGGTCCATCGTGAGTAGGCAGAAGACTTGTAGGAAGCAGCAGCTCTTTGGCATTGTCTTTGGGTTTCTGCTTCGAAACAGCTCTGCTACAACTCTATAGATTTGAAATGTGATGTGGTAGGGGAGTGTGGTGGGGAAAAAAAAGTGTGAGCAGATTTTTTTTTTTATAGATTCACTCTGCTATAGTAGTCAAGGAATTAATTATCAGTGTAAATTTGGTTTTCAGTGGATTGCACTGCCTTGATAGGGAGAAGCTATTCCTAGTGATTATTTCATTGTCTAACCTACACCACTTTCCCAGTAATTTTGCTTTAAGGTCTCTTCATATTTGTGACTGTAACAAGAATTGGTTTCTAACTAGTACCCCACTTTTCAAGCCACCACCACTATGGAATTTCCACAAGTACCAGCCAGGATGGTTTTTGATTTGCTTTACCCATGCAAGGGACTACAAATCTTATGTACAGCCAGACATGATTTCCCAGCTCCTGGCCTGATAAACACACGTCCCATGTCAAGGGATAAGTCCCAGCTCTGTCACCTGACTTGCTGCTATAGGTGAACTGACATAGATGAGCTGAGGATTCTTTGCTTTTCTGAAGAGAAGAAACTGTGACCCATACAGTGATTCTCCTCTTGCTGCATGGAAACCCTTACCCAGAGCTCAGTATAAAGGCTCAACCGAATCCTTGTAGCTGTTTCTGAAGAGTCAGTTATGAAATTCAATAATTAGCTGCAGAAGCTAATGCCTGATATTTTGTTAAATAAAAAGAAAACAAAATATTTTAATCATCTGTGTTGCACGCTGCTCTAAATGTATATTCAAATAAAGGTGTATCTTACTGAACACATCCAATGCTGGGCCTTTCAGATTCAGTATAAATAGTTAGACCTCCCTCTCTTTAGAAAAAATATCAGTAGGGAAAGCTTTAAAAATATTTTCTTATGAAATACAGTGCTATTTCTTTAAATAAAGGGCTTTGGTAGTTCTGTGAGGCAGTTAGCTTAGCACCATTAATACAGAATACAGTCTATCAGCATTTAGTGAACTCTCCATGACCCTGGTGGAAAGTAACTCCTTTAGCTTATACTTATGAAAAATATTATTAAAAAATGCTGTTGAAATGTAAGCATCATTTATAGTCAGTGTTAAACTGGAGTGCTATTGCCAGCTCCATCAACCATTTCACCAAAGATGGGGAGCACTCATTTTATTTTCTCAGGGATGTAGAGGAACTCTGGGAGATGGAATTGGGAGCTTCCCAAAACACCTCGGTTGTCTCCTCTATGTGCACTCACAAATTTCTTTTCTATTTGCTACTTCACCTTTCAGTAGAAATCATCTAAAATTGGCCTATTATGGTAAGTTTTTTAATTTACCTGTTTTGCAGCAGAACAACGAACGTGTGCTGTGCACATGAGTGTGTCCTGACATGCCAAGACACGGCCTTTGAAGGTCACGGCTCCTCCCTTGGAGCAGGGCATCTTGGTCAGGAAGGATCTGGGAGAGGAAGTCCAGGGCTGTGTCCGCTCTTCCTGCTTTGTGTAGGAGGAAATTTTAATACTTCTCTGCCAACAAAAGACAGTAAATGATTTCTTTTTGTCATTCAGACACACAGACCTTTGGCTCGCTGACCTGACATTGGCAACACTATCCATGGGATTATGTCTGCATGTAATGTCCACCACGTAGTACACGAGGTCATATAAGAATATAATCCCTTTGAAGAAGTAATTTGAGGTGACTTTTTACCATGCTGTGCAGCTATCCAGGTGCAGATCCACAGCACTACATGTGCCCAACTAAGATGCCTGCATTAGGATATTTGTTACCTTGTGCTCCTTGTAGAGCTGGACAGAAACCCAGAGAGGACGATTGCATTTCCCCAGGGTATCCCTGGGAGTGCCTATCTCTCCCAGATGAATATATAAGGGAGTTTATATGCCTAATTTAGGCTCCTAATTTAGACATTTCATTTAATCCAGGCCTTAGTCCAAGCTTTGGCAGCTGTGAACTGAACTCAAGAAGCTCTCACAAGGCTCCTTGTTTGTGTAACATTCAGGAAATACATCTGGAGACAGGGGCTGAGCCCTCAGCCCACAGCAGTGGCACTCAGCGTGGACCAAGCACACAAGGATTGTCTGAACCCTCTGTGTCAGAAAAAGGGGTTTTCCACATTTGGAAGAGGGCTGCCACTAGAAGCTGAACCTGGCCAGACCAGTTAGCAGCATTTTCACGACAAACAAAGCAGTGCATTTCTTGGGCCAGTGGCTGATTATAATAGCTATGAAATTACCCAATTTAGTTCACCACGTCAATAAAATTTATACGAAAATACCACCAGAATCTTGGCTAGCATATGGATAACTGTACGAAAGTAACCCAAGCCAATGTGACAACCATTTAAGAGGACTAACCTCTGTCATACGGTTTTCATTTTATGTGCATGCTATACAAACACAACCACCACAAATATGCATTACAGGCTGCCTGGGACTCACTACTGAGGTGAATTAGCACTGTAGTCTGACCTGTTGAAAAGCTTAACCTTTGACCTGCCAGGCAATGGCGGTTGCAATTTGCAAGCCATTCTTGTGTTGAGTGGCTGAAAACATACTTATTTACTTGTGTAAAGCCATAAATGAAATGGGTTGGGTGAGCTCAGCCTACTTCCCAGTCCACAGACCATGTCGCAAAATACTACCACATGTTCAGCAAGTAATTCAGCATGTGAGGACTGAATGCTACTACATTGTGACCCAAATTCACTCTTCAGAGAAAGCAGAGCTTCTTCTAATCTGGAGCAAAAAGAAGAGAATTCAGAGTGACTTCCTTTCTAAGTAACTTCCTACCATGCTTCCAAGAAACAGAAATTCAAAGAAATAGTTTGAAAATCAGTCATTTACCCTCATGAAAAATCTGCATAAGCTTACAGCTTGAGAACTGAACTCCTCTGTAAAACCTCACTGGTGCAGTTGTCACTAGTAGTGCGTTTCCTCTTATTGCCCACTGATGAGTGTCAGCTTTGTAGGGCAAAGCATTAATTCACTCACTTTTCCATCTCATCTGCAAAGGCTGACAGTGGTGCAGAGACAGAGCTGGGAGGTGGACAGAAACGTCATTTCCTACTCACGGGTTTTGCAAGGTTTATCACTTATCAGTTTTCTGAAAGATGCATCGTTTCGGGATGTGAAGCTCTCCCATGCTAGACCTGCTCTTGCCTATCAAATGAAGCCAAATCAGAAGATAACCCAGGTTTAGCAAAGTGGATGTTTTGTAATGGAGATAGCTGGATAATAACTATTTCTAGATCAAAGTCAGTGACTAGGCGTTGCTCTTGGCTTGTTGGCTTTTCTGTCTGACTGTATAACCACAGGTAGGCTTGAGTTGCAAAATTCAGATCAGAATGCAAACTCCATAATTTGGGAAGTGTTTAGTTGCAGGGACCTGGAATGGTTCACAGAGAAGTGAGGTAGGAATCAGGATGCTCAGAACCAGGTCTGCATACGAATTATGGCCAGCCTGACTACATGTTGCAGTGCTGGTCCATCTTCGATCCCAGGGTACATGTAATTGCATCCCAGAGGAGTTTTCTGATCAGCCTAAAGCCACATTTTGGGGTTTATTCCCCCTCTTTTCCCTGTACTTACACCTACAAGCTTGCACAAACAAAAATACCCTATCACAACATGTTTTCATTAAAGCAAATACTTCTGATGTTTGCTTTGTATTTTGTTCTTGCCTGATTATTCTCTGACCTTTCATGTCCTACAACAATAAAAGAGGTAAAAAAAGAGAAAGCTTTACAATATACATTTGCAGTGCTTCAGTACAGACATAGACAAAAAGGTTTATTTTGCTTTTACTTCAGGAGCTTTACATTATCCAGAAAAAGCTCAAAAGCCCTAGATGAGCCAGGAAGGGTTGAGGAGGGATGTGAGAGAACAGCACACTATATATACTGCTGCTCTTCACTGCTGTCATATACATACCATAGGCAGCTGCAGCTCTACAAGTTTTAGGTTAAAATGGAACACAAACCCTGAGATATATCAAAGAAAATGAAAAGATGACACAGCAGGCAACAGGGACAGAAGAGGATGGAGCAGAACATGGATGTACAGGCTTGGTTTACTACAGCTGTAGGCACATTGAAGCATTCACAGCCCACGCTGGTACTGAGACCCTGCTGTTGTTTATTTTTCTGAATTGGTGTAAACAACAATAGTAGTAGCAAAAATAATAACAGCAAAAATAAAAATAGCACCATCATTCCAGCCTGTGTGACAACCTCTTTTCTGGATATTGTTGAGAAGAACGAGACCTGTTTAGAATAAATTTTAGTGAAAAACCTTGGGTCTAAAATTGCAGTTTGCAGAAAAACTAATCTTGGGTGGAATCCATGTCACATTCTTCCCCCATATTTGTAAGTTGGTTTCCGTGGTGCATATCAGCATTTGAAACAATATTATGTTAATGGTAGGGTCATATTTGTTCATTATGAAGAAGGAAGTAGATTTCCTTCAAAGAGGGGAACCAGTATTTCCCACTAGTTGAGAGCCTGGTACGATAGCTCTGCAGTCACAGCCTGGCAATAATTACACCTTGGGTTTTGCGGTCATTTTGGATTGGTGTGAACATGATAAATGACACGTTTTAATTTGAACTATTGCTCAGCAGGCCTGTTCAGGTAGGCAATAATTCACTCGAGCAGGCAATAAACCTGAACAGGTAATAGCCCACACTTTGAAGTATGCCAGCAAACTCTTTAGCAACAAAATAAATATGTACATGAACTTCCGCCATAAATTGTCTTTGGTGAGGCAGAGCTAGTAAGAGTTTCAGAGCTGGCTTTTCAGGTACTCATGAGGAGCAGAATGAGTCAGTGGGCAGATCCTACTACTGCATTAATTCTTTGAAGCTGGACTAACAAACTGGTCCAATATCCACTGAAGGCAGTAGGAGCCTCCTGTTCCATGAAGGCAGGGTGGCTGAGCTGGTAGGGCACTTCAGTCCTTTTACTAATGTAAGTAAATTTCCTTCCCATGAACCACAGATTCATAAATGAGCTTATTCCTATGCGCCTGAGCAAAGTGCTGAAATGCAGCATCCATGTGCAGAGTAGCTTTGCTACAGCTTGGAAGAGATACAGCAGGGTCCAAGCAGCTCTGATTCTCAATGCTGAGGAAAGCTGCTGGCAAATCCATGTTTGCCCAGCACTTTTCCTCACAGCATTCCTTTAACTGCTTTTGGACAAGGTTGTTTGTCAGACATCACATTACTTTTATAGTACAAATACAACATTTTCAACTTTTGGGCAAACACATGCACTGCTTTAGTTACTTAAAATAACATATTTTGAGTAAATTCCTCCAGACTTGCTGGTAACATGTTTCCATCACTGTGGGATGCTGTTGTAAAGAAAAGGAGAGGTGCCTTGGTTATCTTTTCTTTTGGCTGCCAGTTGGCCTTACTTTTATTATGGGTCCCAACCTGTAGTGTTATCACTGATTACCCTAATGCACGTTAACTTTTGATGGGAGGGGAAAAATAATTCAGAGTAATATGACTCAAGTCGACTTCTTTAAAGTTGATGTACGTGAAACTCTTTTGCCTTCTGCTTTATAATAAACAAGGGAAAGAATTCAAAGTCAGAAGAAAAAATCAGCAACAGATTGAATGGAAAGAGACAGTTTATCATCAGCTGATGACAGCTGTGAGTCCAGATTGTTCTGCTGCCCAACCATGCTTTCCCACCAGAGACCCAGAGCAGGGCTATTTTGAGACACTTCAGTCCCTGAGACAGTGCCTGGTGCAGGATGATCCCCCACCTGTTTACAGAAAAGTCTCCACCAAATCATCCTGGAGGACAGGGCAGGATGTGCCACCAGTCTCTGGCTGTTGGTAAGAACCTTTCTGTGGCCATTCACCACTCAGGGCATAACTTTGTTTCCTAAGTGAGGATCATTTACCTTTAGAAACACATAGAAAATTAATTTCTGGGCTGGGCTTTGAATCCAGATTTACATTCTTTTCTTGCTTGAAGTTGCCTAGTTCTGTCATTCTGGTTTGATCCATCCCAGGAACAAGATCCAGCAGCTTCCTTCAGATGCAAACCTGAACCTGAAAGCCTCCCTTCTCCCTTCCCACACCATCTGGGAGATGGGATTTTCCATCTTTTGTTAAAATAGTTACTTACAAAAGGAGGAAAGGGTTGAGGGCAGTTCACCACGTTTATTTCACTTGGTATGTGTTTGCCTTTGCTTTAACACAGGCTGTTTTCATGCCAAATGACAGTTCTATTTGTTCCCCCACCCCCATTTTTTGTGTAGCTTATGTAGAACATCTGGTTTTAAAAGTGTCGCAATTTCTAAACATATTCTAATGCTCTTGGGATCAGAATATCAACAACTGTCTATTGCGGTAAACCGCACGTCTGGAAAACATTCCTGCAAACTGAGTTCTTAAATAAACATAAAGCATCTATAACACATAATGCAAAGCAACATTCACTCGTAAACTCAATATTTAGACCAGATGAGGTGCAAAATATGTTTTTTTCTGGGCTGGGACATCGTGATTTACAATAACACTGACGGGTTTTTCGTTGTATACAAGAGAGGGCAGAGGTGTGGCACGCAGATCGGAGCCTTCCCTCAAGTGCTCGTTCTGCATTTAGCTCCCACCTCGTGAGATCTTTTTGCTCCAGTTGGAGATGGGAGATCAGGAGTATGTCCTCTGAAAAATTCCTACTGTTTTTAGAAAGTGGAAATTTAAAAAGAAACTGTAAATCACCGACGGATTAGACATGCCTGTATCTGATAACCCTGACCCTCTTGTGTAATATCTGCATCCGTGCTAATTATCTGCACACATGTGTCTGAAATCCAGTGGCAATTCAGAGATAGCGCAAAGATTAAACAAACTGAATAGTACAGTGAAAAGAAAATTGCAGTAAATTGGTCTGAGTGGGAAGATTTTGTTATTTTCAATTATTATTACTATTATTTATAGGGTGTGGAAAGCAGAACCATAAGCAACTTTATATGCAGTCATACTTTAAAAAAAATTATTTCACTTTGAAAATTCCCTCCACACTAATTTCAGAAACAAATAATCACTTCAAATCACTTTTTAGGAGTTTTGATGAAGTTAGTTGACTGAAAATGGAAAAGCTGAAAACTCATTAAACTACTGCTAAATGCTATGAATATGTTTTGATTATTCTTCCAGATTACTGTTTCTTAAAAACATTACCTTCTTCCTCCTAACAAGAGCACCAAATACCTTCTCCCAATTAATTCTTTAAGCACTTCTACTCTAAATTTAATGCAAAGATACTTTATAAAGAGAGAAGATGAATACATACACTTAGGCTGATGCAATTACATTTGAAGGTTACAGAGAAGTCCAGTGAATCCACCTCCTGCAGCATCTCAAAGTTAAGGTTTATCAAGTGAAAACTGAAAAATTAAGTCAAGTCTTATCATTTAATTTCCCAATATTAAAAAGGGCTGGATCTTTTTTTTTTGATGATTAACATCTGGAGTTATGCAAAGCAAGATAAGAGTATTAGAACATCTCACTTCCTTGTATGAAGATCATCTCTTCTCTTCAGTATGGAAATGAGGGCCTCCACCCAAATATCCCATTAAGCAGCTGAAGACATTTTGGCCCAAAACCTGCAGATATCAGGATGGAAGCACCTCCCTTGTGTGTTCACCATTGGAAATATGCAGCTGGATCTAAATGGTTACTGGGGAACAGATCATGCTTGCTTTGAAGACTGAAGGTTTGAGGTTGGTGGAATTTTAGGTCTCACAAGAACAAATGCTTAGGTTCTATTCCTGTCCCCCCGTTCTTCCATGATAAATTCAAAGTTTTGCATTGTTTGTGTGGGTTACTGGGCTGACCTGGTGCTACTGAAGCTCATTCTCCTCTGAAGCTCAAAAAAAAGGTCTCTAAAAGGCCGAGGCACTTTCAGCTTACTGGAAGTGAGTAAAATTTTAACGAATCAAACGGAGTGAAAAAAGGCTCAGCGTTCAGCTGAACACGCACCAAGCCTGAAACAACCATGCTGTAACAAAAAACAGATTTGTGCCAACCTGCAGGGACTTCCCAGTCACGGAACTCCCTTGGGATTTACCAGTGTAGCGTGGCTGGGGACATCCAAGCAGCTCAGCTTCTTCCTCCCGCGAGTGACGCTGGAGAAGCGGTGCCGTGAGCATTGACAATTATCCGGCCGGTGTCATTCCAACAAAACAACTGCTTTTTGCCAAGTCTAATCACTCTACTATGCACCTCACCTTCTTGAATGAGAGGTCCTCATTCAAGCATGTAGTTTATTCAAAAACACATGCTGCATTCATTATAGCTGAATATTAACGAACACCTTGAATTCTTGGAGCATTATTAGTATCAGGTCTCTTGGCTGCTGCTAGGACAGAATGCCTTATGGGAAGCTTGATGCCTGGCCAGGACTCAGATTACAAAGCATACACATCTTTCTTTCAATATATTGAAGAAGTCACTCAACCTTACATGTCATCAAAGTACTTCCTAAACATATGTGTTTTCCCAAAGTGTTTGCACTGGGATTGCAAAGACTCTGGAAAACTCTGACTTTCCTTTTCCAGAAGCTGGAAAACAGGGATTATTCTATTGAAAGTTTTAATAGTTATTAATTGTTTCAAAATATTTTTTTTTTCTTAGGTTTTTAGCAGTTTTGATGAAATCCTGTAAGAAAACATAAAGGGCAAGCTCATACAAGGACAGATCAGAGCTTAGATTGTGTTGTGTCCTCGTGATCGTGGCAAGTTTTAGTGTATTGCAACCAACTCAGAATTAGCAGCATTTTCCAGGACTCTGAACTTACCCATAGGACCGTTTGCATGACCTTCGTCACTTGAATACTTGAAAACTTCGTAAATTGTTGTGTCTTGACATATAACTTTCCTGTGGAACAAAAAAAAAGTTTTTCATATTTATAAAGGCTGTCAAACAGTCATAAGGGGTAAATAAAGTCACAGAGGAAGTCTGACGTTTTATGATAGCAGAAGGTGGACCACTCAAGCACCAGTTCAGCATCCTGCCTCTGAGATCGCTCTACACATAAATAAATAGGTTGTTCTACACATAAAATAAAACCTCATCTTACTGAGAGAATCAGGAAGACAATATCACACTTCTACAAAGTATTATGTCTTTGGCATCATGTATTGAGTAAGATACAGAAATAAATGTTTCTGTTATTACGCATAAGATACAAAATTTATTATTTATTCTAAAGAGTCATAGACATACATATCTCACATCACCTGGGACCAGGGTTCTCCCCAGTTTCTCTTCCATCCTGTTGCAACTCATTCCACTGACCTCAAGGACTGTCTTGTGCCCTTTGCAAAGATGCCCAGCTGGCCCAACAGTGATCCCTCTGGGGTAGCTGTAACCCTCTGAAATAATGATGGAGAACACTCAAATGAGACAACTCTTGTGTGTTCCTAGAGCAAGGAGACAGCATTTTTGGAGAGTCCAGATGTTCACTGTCATGTAAATTCTGCAGGCAAAAGTCTCTTAACCAATTTCCCGGCATCACTCCAAAGTTTGCATTGATGCAAAGGGAGTCATTTCACCAACTACAACACATAAAACTGGCAAGGATTTACAAAAATAAAACTGACAAACAGTCCAACTCTGCTATTTAACTGAAACGAGATATAAGTGAGCAGAAGAGATGCTCCTTTAAAGAAACCAACACATGGATTTTGGATAGGATCAGGCACAAATGTCCTTCTGCTTTTATAAATATTGACAAAAGGAAACAGGAAGATAGGTCTGTCCATAAAGAGGAGGTCTATTAACCATAATGCTGCTCTATTCCACTGATAGTTTTATCTTTGTATTAAAACAAAAAGGGTAAGGCTAGATATTACTTTTTTTACACTGATAGTTCCAAACCTCATAAAATATTAGTATCTGTATTGGCTATAAAAATTAACAGCTCCAGATCCTTCAGTGTTGTGGTCTTCAATTTTATTTTATCACCAGCTTTTCAGCTGTCTGTGTGTGTACGTGTGGGTGTGCACACATGCACACATGTCCATTCCCTTCTAAGCTGTTTGGCTGTTGCTGAATAGGCTCACAATTGCTCAGTAAGGCTCTGTGATAGGGCTTGAAAGTGGCACTCCTGATTCCTTTACATCAGAGGTCACTATTGTACAATGAGATCCTGATAGGAGATAGTGATAATATGATGCAAAAAACCACAACAAAATAAACCCCCCACCCCCAAAAAAATGAAAACTCTGGTGTTGTCAGTGGGAATTGTTTTCCAGTTAAATAACTTTCTAGGAGGAAAACTCAAAAATTCTCTGAGGCATCTCAGTCCAAAACTGCCCTTTAAAAAGGTTTCAGAGCCAATGTAAATACTAAACTCAGTATGATGTTTGTATTCACTTACCCAATCTAACTTTTATTAACAATTAATCCATCAAATTTCAATGCCTATAAAATCCTCTGAGTCACAGGCCCCTCTGGAAGCCTGTATCTCGAAAACAAAAATTGCAATTACTGGCATTATCTTTTGATGCAGAATCAAATTTAAATGGGGTTTTACAAACTGGAGAATTATCTGCATTTCTACTGTCTAAAGGCATCAGATTCCCTTAAAGCTCATATACAGGGTAAATACATAGAAACTACAGGAGGCAGCCAGTACATATGGAATGGATAAAGGCCACATAGTTTATTGAACCTTGTGGCCTGCTGATGTAACAAAATAAGCTTTGCAATGAGCAGTCAGATCTTAACATCAGGCCGCTCTTTGCTCGAGTGTAATAGATGATAGCTCTCAGAGGGCCAGATTTGGATCCCCATATTTACCAGGAGTCTTACTTCAGGCTCTGGCCCTCAGTACACTGAATGAGGGATTTAGAAACATTCATTCGTAATATTTTCTCTTCTCTGAGTAAAGTGTGGTGAGAGGCAGCTGGAAGGTTTCATGTTCCAGCAGCTGAGGGGAACGAGATCCTGAGATCCAGGTATATGAAATCTTTCCAGCACTGATGAGTCCTCCTCTTCCAAACAGATAAACAGCTCTTTCTCAGAGTAAAAGCAATTTGGACTGAACTGTCTCATCATTGCAATAACCCCTTGCTGAAATTTTAAACCAACTAGAGGAGCCAAAAAACCGAGCAATGTGTGCCATTGCCTTTACCTGCCAGCAGCAAGGCCTCCATCATTCCTGAGAGATACTGAATTTTCTGTTGGTTTTTTCTTTTTCCTTTACTTAAACTTATCCTTCCCAGCATTTAAAGTCTAGTCACTATGAGATCATTAGCAATGAAATCAGCCCACAAGGGTCTGGGGAAAGGATAAGGGAGAAAGTTCTTGCACACCTTAAATCTGGAAATACCCCAAATGCTGATGCAGACCCCAGCACAGCAAGGGCTTGAGGGAAAGTCTAAAGGTATCTCAAGAAGCCAAAGAGTTGCTCCTGTGTGTTTGGGGACTGTCACCTCTGCAGGTGGAGAGAATTCAGCCTCTGAGGGTACAATCCCAATGCTTGTGCCCCAAAGAAGCCTCTTCTGTTCTCCATGTATCTCCACAGAGACTCTCCTGATTAAAAACTGTGGCTGTGGCAGAGTTTGGGCTCATAAGGACTGCTCACTTGCTGGTAACATATCTATTAAAATACAGACTTTGTTGCTTGAGGAGACATTTTTTGACTGGAGACTATGGAGTTGTGAGAAGACTGAGTGACTATTTACTCTTCTGCATTTCCAGCAGCTCTCCCTGAATGCTTTTCTTTCTTTGCTTATTTCCACACTTCTGCTGGGAATTAATTTCAAACCCCAGTGCCTAGGAAAAATATATGTTGAGAGGACCCTCTGGAGAAATATTATTACATTCCAGCATCTCAGAGGTGTATCATGTATCCTTTCCCCAGGAGGCACCTACATCCTCCCAGACACTCCAAAAGTGTGGTTTAATGTCATTCTTGCTATACAAATCTTTTTACAAATGTGCATTCATTAAACATCCATCTTCTCTTCAGTGAAGAACAGTCATAATTCCTAACTTGTTCCTGCTCTTGAAGTGCACTTCTGGTTCACCAGACCACAGTCATACATCCATACTGCCCCCTGAAACAAACTGCCTAAGCCACAGGAGAAATTAAATATAAGTATGTACGAATTCAGCTACAAAGAGCATATTTCAACATCCTGTTTTCAGAAAAATGCAGGGAATGAGAAGTACATTCCAAGACTGTGCACAAACTGAAAGCTCTGAAAAGCTTACAAACACTAAAAATGACGTAGATGGCTCTTGTGTAGATAACACCAGGAGAGAAAGGACAGCTGCTCACCGGCTGTCGCCCAAGGTAAGCACTGCTGAAAAGGGGATTCCCAGTCCTGGCAGCCAAGGAAATACAGTGAGTCAAACGAGATCTAATGCAGCTCAGTAGTTCAAGCAGATCAGTCTCAAGCCCACATGAGAAAGAAGGGGGTCATGGTCACCAATGGCATAAGCAGATAAAAAGGTCCAACAGCAGCATGGAGATGTGCCCTGACCCCGAGCAAACAGAGGAAGGTCACACAGCTCACAGCTCTCCTGCAGCTCGCAGGAAAGCTGCCTCAGTGCCCTAGTCTGGCACAGAAACCACTGAAGTCCTGTTGAAAAGACTATTTCCTTGTGGTATTCTCCAAATTACCTCCAAAACATTCCTTCCATCCTGATAAACTAAGAAAATAATTTGATCTTTTGCTTACAAAGACAGAAGAGAAGCAAACATTCACAATACAATAATGTGTTGATTCACAAATAATGGAAACTAGAAACTTGAGCTCATTTTCCACCTCCTTAACATTTTCTGCATTGTGTGGGTAGCAGTCAAGAGCCAATTGTTCCTAAGGTCACTGTATCTGTTTTGGTTTAGGAGATGAGACATTAACACTTCAGGATCAACTATTTTTTTTTTTTTATCCAATAACATATGACCTATGGAAATGTTTCCCTAGGAACTGTTGAGATACACACGCAGACTGATCATAAAGCTTTCATAAGAGCTTGTGGTCTAACCACGGGGAGCATTGGTTCAGTCCTGATTACCTTTCATCTTTCAAAGGTTAATACACTTCATTCCAGTTTGCTCATTATGCTGTGGACCTCTTAAAGAAAAGTCTGAAAGCAAAGGTCCTTTGTGATTCTTGCTCCTAGGATGTAATTTTCCACGGGCAGATCTCGGCATAGTTCTTCACATGAGAGAAATGAAGATTTATCCTCAAGGAACAGTTCTGTAAGAGAATACTCAACACTTGAAGTCATACAATTATATATTTTAGTTTAAAAAATCTGAATCTCCATACAATAGTTCTTACAAAAACGAGGTTATATATTCGCCACAGAGCCCTGTGGTGACACATTCCCTATTAAGTCCTTGTTCTGTGTCCTGGTCTCTTTTTCCATGGTTCCCTCAAATTTGCATTTCACTGATGCACTCTGGGATCCTCCTGTTGAAGCTACTACTGAAATGTTAAAATAGTTTCATAGTCTTAATTGAATATATTTTTACCATTAAAGGACAGAAATTATATGAGAAGTTTTCAGCCTAACGCATAAGAAAACAATTATTTAGATAAAGGAGATCTGCACAGCTTATTTATTTCTTGCTCTTCAACCTATTACATGACATCATTTTAATATAAAAGAACTTTGTAATTATGATGCCTTTACTGATTATTCTTTGTTGTACACCACTGGATCTTCCTAATCTGAGCACAGAGATCTTTTTACAGATTTTATACTCACACCTTAATGAAGTCCCATGAAAAGCCTTTCAACCTTCCCAACCCCTTTACTTTGCTTCAGTGTGCTCAGGACAGCATTTTCTGTCGTTTCCACATTTTAAGCTTTAATCTTTGCCTAGAGGGCAGCAAAACAGCATCTCCCGAGGACTCCAATACCTAAATTTCCTTCCCTTATTCAACGAAGGACCACAGCCTCCTCTTCAGTATTTCTAACCCCGTGCTGGAAGGTACAGCCAAAACATAACCAATCTTGGCCGGTGTGGCTTGGCGCGGGCGTGGCGTGGTGAGCCCCGGCTGTCTCCCCACTGACCTAACAAACCAAGCTGGGACCTGCCAGGAAAGAGCCTCCACTAGCCATCCCTGAAGGGTTTTGTCAACCCTGCTGCCAGCGACCCACCAGCTATGAGGTAGTGTCTCACAGGCTGCTGGGCTCGAGATTGCAGGACTAACTCAATTATTTAATGATGGGGGAGACGTTACTGCTGAGACTAGAACTTGCAGCTCTAGTTTCTGGGCCTAAGTGGGGACTGTGAGGAAATGCTGGAAGCAAGACAAGCACACACAACTGTTCAGTTGCAAAACCTAAACGCCTGGAAGATTTTCTTCCAGTGAGGTAGGCGGCTGAGACGCTGCTTCGTGGATCAACAGTCACCTGGCTAGTGGAATGAGAATGTAGATAGGCAAGCAGTCTGGCTGCTCTTTTCATTTTAACAAAAAAAAAAAAAAAAAAAAATAAAAAAAAATTACATAAATTCAAAACCAAACAACATCCAGAAATATCTCTCCAGATCTCTTGAAGCTCTGAGGAAAGGCACACGCCCAGTGGGACTTACCCCTTCATTGCCCCCCGAAGTATTCGAATTCCACAAGAAAAAGCAGTTGAAGCAGCAGTGAAGTATTTCCTAGATTAGGGCAGATAACACCGAAGTTGAAAATGTTGGAGTCAATGGGAACAGGAATGTTCTCAGTAAAGAAAAACATCTGAATAACTGAGCAGCAAGGCTAATAAATCTGGGTTCTCCTGGTTTTTTGTGTCTTCACTGGCTCCTCTGCTGTCTCACGGAGGCTCCTGCTGTAGATTCATTCATCGAGGAAGGTTTGATTGGGGTATTTCCCTTCTACCTCTCTGTCTTATTTTCATAAACCAGTATAGGCACATTTTCCTCTTTTTTGTCTTATGTTAAAATTGACCAAAAGGATTAAAAGTTAGCCAGGGAAGATAAAAAAATGGACAGAAAAAGATTAAGATAATATTCTCTCCCCTCTAGAAAATGAGAAAATGTGCCAGAAAAGAAAGTAATTACAATTCAAGTTAGCTATTTGGAGATACGAGGGCAGAACACATGCAGGAGTGTCATCCCCTCAGTATTTGGAATTACTTAATCTTGCTGAGAGAGAGTAACAAAAATAATAATAATAAAGACTCACAGCCAGGGTCAGTCCCCAGCAGAAATTCACAAGTGTTTTCAAGGGATAACCTCTGCTTGCAGCCAGAACAGAGCAACCACTTTCTATACAGCACTGCCTCTGTCCTGTTTCTGTGCCCAGGTCTGGCTATGGTGAGCCACAAACCATTTTGCTTTTTTTTTGTGGATGGCTGAACCCCCTCAGAAAGCACCAAAAGCTGTTGCAGACCTCAACCAAAATTTGCTGGAATTTGAAATTTGCCTGAACTGGTTTGCCTGCGCTCTCTGCTTACGCCGATACTCTGAATTCACAGCACACTCATACCCACACTCACAGGTTGATCTGAATCAAACACAACCTTCCCTTTTATCTCTGGTGAAAATGGAGAAGCAGAGCAAGATGGCTTGTAAAAAGCATTTTATATGCAAGACAGATTAGAACATTAGTGGCGTAATAAAGTAAATAAGATGGCAATTGACCTGAGACATGTGGGGTTTACCCCAATTTTTTGTTTATAGTTGAAGGTCGTAAGCTATACAAACCTCTATTGATCAGAGTCCTCTTTGTTTAAACAGAACCTACTGTATTTATTTGTGCTGTTCCTCTAAAGTCAAACAAAAGGGGACAGTTTTAAGTAAATCTCTGCATGACACTGCTGCCATGTGGTTCATTCACTCAGTATACAGATGTTTTCAATCTGTACAGTTTGTCTTTCATATCCATATGAGATGAAGCAGGCTTGATTTAGGCTGGGAATGATGCCAAAGAGAGAAGATACATCATTAACCCTTAATAAACGACTTATGAAGCATCCCTGGTTTATTCATTAAAAGGACTCCATGAAGGATTACCATAACACCTTATGAGTGGTAAGAACCCCTTATTTGTCCATAATATTATGCGACATGTATTTATATTGAAAACAAAATGCTTGGTGTGGGAGATCCTCCCCTTTCATTCCCTTGCCCACTAATGTACAGGCTAAAAATAAGCATCTACTTAAATTCAGCATTCAACAAAAATTGTCAAGAACTAGAAAGACAGAATTAATCTGGGTTTTGCTTTGCCAGTGTCCTGGGCATCACACAAGTCTTTACAGAATTGATTCTTGTTTACCACCTTAGTACCTACTACATGCATGTATTTAATACACAGTGTAGGCATTAACCCAGTACATATTGCATAGAAGAGACAAAATGGTGCCTCTTATTACACCTGTATGGAACTGAGACAGCACATTAAGAGACTTTCCCAAGGCCACAGGAGAAGGATGTAGCAGAGCCAAGTTGCCCCAAAATGCAGCCCAGGGAGTTCCTCACATGACCAGCCCTCCTACGTTGTGCCCACTCTGCTTTCCTCAACATCCCTCTCTCCTAAAAATTACAGCTCTTGAAAAATAGTAGATGTGTGTTATAGACAGCACTGGGCTTGCACTGGATACAGGGATATTAGAAGCAGCTACTGGCTTGGAAACAATTGGGAAAAAAAGGACACAGCTTTTTCTTCAGACAGTTTACAGGGTTTGCATGCTGAGTCTATTCTTACTGTATTATTCGGCAAACAATCTGTTGCATCACTACAAAGAAGAAACTGCTGATCTAATGCAACTAATAGACAATCTCATTCAATCAGTTCTTCCTTTACTAAAACATGCAGAACCCAGTAGTGAGTTTAAACCCGCTGTGCCAACAGTAACATCTCTTGATTTTAGCGGGGAGCAGTGTGGCTTGGCAAATAAAATTTAAAAAAAAAATTAAAAAAATCAGAATTAATTTGTTTTTTCCTTCTACTCCAGCTCAGTTTGAAGGCAGAAATCCACCTCACTGCTTAGCTTAAAGAATTCAGAGTTGAAGGCCACTGCTCAGATATGTAGGCTGAAAAGCCTGCTCCCTGCTACAGAGCTGTGTCCCTATAGATTTTATGGCCAGTCCTGTGCAGTTAGCCTATGAAGTTGGAAGATATTCTTCCCCCTTTTCAGGTTCTGTTTGAAGAAGGGGCTATACATAGTCACATGTATGTTCAATTATTCATTTTCCAGGAGGTGTTTGAGTCAGGGAGAGCAGGCTCAGCACATACCATAAAAATACTTCTGCTCCCTACTCTCAAGATCTGCACTACAGGTCAAACAAGCTACATTCAGTCATGGGACATTAAGTCCCTGGATCTTGAACTCCAGCTGACTGCCTCACCCAAGCTTTTGGGCTAAGCAAGCATCTCTCCAGCCTAGAAGTTAAGTGAAGAAGTCAGTGGGTCAGGCTTCTCTTAACCCTGCTGCCAAGAGAGCCCGTCTCAGGACAGCTTTTGCACAGCCCAGACCCTCCCCAGACACTGCACAAGCGAGGAATCAGTCAAATGCAATTTTTTTCCACCTCCTTTCCTACCATAAAAACCCACCTCCCCCCAGCACTAATCCCAGTGCAGGAGACACAACCCTTTTCTAGCTGACCGGGGGGAAGAGCTGAACTCACAGCTGGCCCAGCCCAGCTCCCCACACAGCCGGTGCACGCAGCTGGAGCCCTGGCTCAGCCCTCTTTAACCCCCTACACCGTGGCCAGAGGTGACCCCCATCAGGGGGCACAGAGAGGGAATTGGGGTGCCCAGGTTGGGAAAGCGCCTGTCAGGCTGCCATGGGACTGGTTCAACACCCCCCCTCATTTAATTGCAGGTGCTGAGCACGGGGTGTGCGTGCTGCTGCTTCTCCTAGGGCAGAGCTCCAGCTTCCCTGCCTGGCGTGTCCCCAGCTTTGCTCATGCTCGTGGCCTCTCTGGGGCATGAGGAGTTCTGAATTTGCAGCTGGGTGGGAGCCTCAACCCCTTGCAAAGCCAAAAGCTCAAATAGCACAAAATTGCAGAATTGTTTGGGTTGGAAGGAACCTTAAAGATCATCTAGTTCTGATCTCCCCACCATGGGCAGGGACACCTTCCACTGGACCAGCATGCTCAGGGCCCCATCCAATCTGGCCTTGAAACACTTCCAGGAATGGGGTATCCACAACTGATCATGATCAAGAGGTTCACAGGACAGTGATGTGTGAGAACTGGGAATAATCCCAATCTGACGGCGGGCAGTTGAAAAGCTGGTCTGTGAGGAAGGGCCCTGACCATTGGGCTGTGATATGAAACAGGACAGTCATCACCTCCATGTTAATGTCTGGAAAGGTCTTGAAAGTCTTGGACTCTTCTCTGTTCCTTAGAGGAACAGTTTTGGAAGCTCCTGCCAGGGAGCAACCAGCATCTGTATACCAAGTGTTCTCCATGTGAAAATATCTGACGAAATAGGGGGAATCACAAACAAAATCAAGTGAAACACAAATTATTTTCTCCAAGTCACAAACCAAGTTAAGGGAAAAATCAGCCCAGAGCCCAAGTCCTCTGGTTCCAAATCTATGCATGAGCTCTCACTACCCCAGCTCTGCAGCCCACAGTAATATGGAACAAACCTTTCTAGAGAGATAAATTCCTCTTAAAAAAAAAAAAAGAATAAGAAAAGCATACTATTTTATCCATGGTACTTTAACAGAAAGCTTCTTCAGTGAGACTATTTTAAAACAAATTACTTATTAAAAATGGGGTAAGAATAGGGAATTTAGTGGGAGAGAGGGAGCTACGGTCACTGGTCCCTTTTTAGGTTTTAAACCAAACCAGAGACAACAGTCAAACTTGGGACAATCCTGGGTAAACCACAAGAGATGGCAGTACTTCTCATCATCCTAAAACAACAACATTTTTCCAAGTTTTTTCAATCAAAAATGCTAGTAAGGCCACCCTGGAATTTGCTACCATTTTTCCTTACCCAAAGCTGTTTTTCAACAGAAGTATTGAGTTTACATATTAATACACCACTAAAAACAGGATGAAGAGATTGGAATGCTGGAGTTACTGATTTGTTTGGGATTTTCTAAGAAAAAATAAAATAATTCTGTTCCACCAGTTTTCTTTATTTTTTCTTTCTTTTCCTTTTTCCCATTAAGTGACTGTTTCAAATTAATACAAAGAGGATGCAGCATTTCTTGGGTTTTATTTTATGGGTTTTCCCAGCATATGGAATCTTTTTAAACATGAGAAGCTGTGGGTAATATGTTATTATATGCATATTTTAAGTTAACCATTCTTTATATCTTTCTCAAAAGAAAAGATTTATCATGTTTATGTCTGAGAAATATGTTTATTTGGAAGATTTACTCCAACTCTACTTATTTCCTTTACAGGGATGGCAACTGGAAAACTATACTAGCATTTTTTATAATTAAAATTAGGGTGTAGCAGAACGTAATCATTACTTGTTGCTTTTCTGGATCATAGAAGCTTTCTGTAAATCAGACTTGACAGGTTTAAAATGTTATTTTCTGAGCTTTGTTCCTTTGCCAGTAAGGCCATTTTTAGGGTGGTGACAGAAATCCTGACCTGTAATGCCAGTGAGCCCATTGGCACATCTGAGAGATCACAGGAACCCACATTCCCAAAAGTAGCTCCTGAACTGAAATGCAGCTTTTGGGG